TCCTTCCTTCCGTCCTTCTTCTCTCCAAGCATAGGATATAAACCAAAACAGCAACAGTCTTAAACCAGGAATTAGTAACTCAAGTAACTTAGCTTTGCTAAAGGAATCTGCAAAATTTGGAATTGCATGGAGGCATTGAAGCGTCTGGGTTGGGGGATCCTGGGAAAGTTTGCACCCCCGTGGTGTTGGACCCAGGGCCATGAATGCTGAACAGATTGGCTGGCTTGATGTATGAAGGGCAGGTGATGCCCCAGACCTAAGTTGGCCTATTTGGAGCCCTGGAGTGAAAAGGCCGGGCGGGTGTGTGTGTGTGTGTGTGTGTGTGTGTGTGTGTCTTCCTCAACTGCTATTGGCTGAATTGCTGTGATGTCAGAGTCATGCAAGACGCTGGAAGTCTTCCTTTGGGAGCCTTTATGCATCCCTGATCTATTTCCTCCAGAATGAGGACCATAACCTGATCAGAGACATGGGACGGGGAGGCAAAGGTTGTGTCTTTAGGGAGCTTACGGAATAGGGCGGCAAATGGATTTGCTCGTTTATTATTTTTCTTAAATGCCACCTGACATCAAATCAACACTGGGCGGCTCCCTGCATAAATACAAAACCGGTATACAACTGAAAATAGAGCATAGTCCGAAGGGAAACAGGGTGGTGAATCTGGTGCACAGAGGAAAAACGTTGACAGATGCCACCGGCAACGGGCTCCAGCCAGGCTTGGCCCTCTGGGAGCCACCCAGATCTCGGGGGAACCCATTCCAGAGGGCAAGCGCTGCGCCAGAGAACATGCCCTTTCTGGGTCCTGACAGATGGTCTGGTCAGTGGAAGGAACTACCGCGCACCAGCCCTCCTCGGCTGACCCCACAGGAGACCAGGCCCTGTGCCAGGTAGCGCCTTGAATTGCACCCAGAAGCAAACAGGCAAAACGGGTGCCACGTGGGCATACCGAGGCATGCCCGTCGCTATTTGCACTGCGGTGTTCTGGGCCGGTTGGTCTTCCAGGGCAGCCCCAGGTAGAGTGTCTTGCAGTAGTCAAGTCATGAGGTGTCTAGGGCATGGTTGACTGTCTTGATCTAGGAAAAGATGCAGTTGGCACATCGGATGACGCTGGGCAAAAGTCTTCCTGGCCACGGCTGCCCCTTGCTTGTCGAGGGGCGGCTCTGAGTCCAGGAAGACCCCCGATTGCACACTTCTTGTGAATGGGGAAATGCAACCCTTTCCAAGGCCAGAGAAGGAATCGCCCCAGATCTAGGTGGATCTCCATCCACGGGCAATCGGTCTTCCTAGGGTGGAGTCGGAGACACTCTCCCCCCATCCAGACCCACACAGCCTCCGGGCTCTGGGACAGGCTGGAAAAGCGTCCGTAAAAATTCCGCTTTGCATTTTGGAACTGGAAACGCTTTCAACGAGATCTTGATGTTGTGAAAGCCACCGTCCCTGTTTTTTTTTTTTTTAATATGGTGGTTTTTATGGGAAAAATGCAATTAAGGATTATGAAACATTTATTTCCCTCCCTGTAGTCACACACAGCCCTCCCCCTCCGATTTTAATTTTGGAAGCCGCAAGGGGGCAATTAAATTTCTCAGATGTGGGCTGCGTGTGCACCAAGCCTTTCGTTTTAATCATCTTGCCCTCCAAACACCCTGGGTGGGGGCCACGTTTTTAATTAGTTGAGGTTCTCTTTATGAGGGTTACTTCTGCGAGATCCCTCGGACCCTCCAAGTCTTGCTGGTTCGTATAATCAGATTTTTTCCCGAGCTGTCGAAATGATAAATATATCACAATAGGTTTCTCTCCTTTTTAAATGAGGACTTTTAAAAGAGAATTAATAGCAGGGGCTTGGCATAGACGCGAGTCAGCTGATGACCTCCAATTTGTCCCTCTCTCTGTCTTCCTGGTCTACGTTTTCGCACCTAGAAGATCTTACATTCGTTCAGAAATCTATTTAGGAACATTTATATTCTTTCCAGACCCCAAACCAGCATTTTAGGCTAGTAGAGAAGCGGTTTAGAGTAAAGGAAGGCTATTTGACCCTATTTTTGAAGGATGCAAGGCCTCCTTTGCTGTGCCAAGAAAAAGCCTTAAGCATGTTAGCAAATTCTGGCGTTTGGGGTGGGCCGTGGCTCACGACTAGAAAGTGAAAGTCGTTTCGATGTAGTTTGGCTGCAGGAAGGGAGAAATGATGGGGGGGAACCAGGAGGACATTTTGCATGAAAGAACTGACTCATGGTAAAAAGCAGATGCCGTTTACCTGTCTGGTAGACTTTTTAGAAACTCGTAATTCAAAAAAAAAATGGATCGATTTCTGCAGGTGTCATTCAGGGGTGGCACAGCTGTGCTCAGGACTCCTCGGTCTAGCCTTCAGGTTTTCCAGATGTGTTCGTTTCGAGCTACCCAGCTGGTGTATTGCTCCTGGATCTTAGGTCACAACGTTCGTTCTGGGTGTGCAAACAGGCGTGCTTCCTGCCACGGATTTAAATCCAGCTCTGGCTCTGAACTGTTATTCTCTTTTAATCCTCTCGGTTTGATGTTCCTGGGCAGATGTTTTCATCCTTGCTGGATCTGCAAGCTCACGGCATTACTAAGGGTGTCCCATTTTGTTTTTTGAACTGCCTGGAGCAAGCAATGGGGAATGTGTGGCATGTGAAAAATATATTTTAAGAAATGAATAATATTGGAATTCTTGCTGGCTTGCTCGTTTTAGGTCAAAGATGCACGCTTCCTGCTTCTCTGAGCGACTTTCTGGGTTTCAGGGAAAAATATATTTTTAAAAATGAATAATATTGGAATTCTTGCTGGCTTGCTCGTTTTAGGTCAAAGATGCACGCTTCCTGCTTCTCTGAGCGACTTTCTGGGTTTCAGGGAAAAATATATTTTTAAAAATGAATAATATTGGAATTCTTGCTGGCTTGCTCGTTTTAGGTCAAAGATGCACGCTTCCTGCTTCTCTGAGCGACTTTCTGGGTTTCAGGGAAAAATATATTTTTAAAAATGAATAATATTGGAATTCTTGCTGGCTTGCTCGTTTTAGGTCAAAGATGCACGCTTCCTGCTTCTCTGAGCGACTTTCTGGGTTTCAGGGAAAAATATATTTTTAAAAATGAATAATATTGGAATCCTTGCTGGCTTGCTCATTTTAGGTCAAAGATGCAGGCTTCCTGCTTCTCTGAGCGACCTTCTGGGTTTCAGGGAAAAATATATTTTTAAAAATGAATAATATTGGAATCCTTGCTGGCTTGCTCGTTTTAGGTCAAAGATGCAGGCTTCCTGCTTCTCTGAGCGACTTTCTGGGTTTCAGCGAATTCCTCATTGCCCTAACCGAAATAATTGGTTGAGTTCATTACACCATATTATGCTAAAACTGATTATGGCTTGTCAGCCCTTTTCACACAGAAAAAATGTCCGTGTGAAAGAATTAGGCCACATTTTGGAGAAAACAGCTAGGAATGTAGCAGGAATAAATGTCTCAGGGTGGTGCAAATTTGTCATGCTGGCGTAAAGCTTCGCCCAAGCGTGTGTGTGAGTCAGGGAGCGTGTATGTTTAGGCGCAAGGCCTTGGCCCAACCTGGTGCCCTCCAGATGAGCTCAGATCCAACATTGTTGCCTGGAAAAAAAAATCTGGAATTGGTGGGGATTTGGACAAAACATGGCAAAAGTTCCCAACGAAACCCCGGAAAAGCGGGTCAAAATGGGTATTTTGAGAGTGGAATAATTGGCTCAAATTATTTCTTTTTTGCTGTCAGGCTATCGTCCTGGTTCACTGGCTGCTGACGATATGGTGAGCGACTCGGAGTTTCGGGATTTGTGGGGACGGCTGCCTGCGACGTCTGCAACGGGCGCATCGGCTCTCGTGTCCGGCCCGTAACCCTGTTTCTTAAAAGTAGCACGGTGATCCCGTCCTTAATGGCTAAGCCGTGGGTAGACTTTGATATAAAGTCAGGGTTAAGCAGCTGCAGGTTGGTGAAAGGGGTTAGTCACTAGAGAACCCGGTGTGGGGCAGAGAAAGTGTGGCCTGGTCAGCAACAAGACGGGGTAGTTTTGGGAAATGGGCCAAGCAGCTTGATTTTCTGTCTTCTGAAAGCGCCGTTGTTTTAAA